CCTGTTAATTTCCTTCTCCAAGTTCGGCTCTGTCTTAACTTGGTATTGAACTCAAACTCCTTGGGTCCTGTCACTGGATCTAACTAACACCTTTATCCACTATGCCATGTGTCCTCAAGGAGACATGGCACAGTGGATAAAGGCTCAGTGAGCGAAATAAAGGGTTTAGTTCGACATTCCAACCACCTGAAGAATGCCGGAGCGTACAACGGCCGAAACGTTGTAATAAATATGGCGACAAAGATGAGTATAATAGTCCGAATAATGTAAATAGTGTACATAATACATCATCTCGGAAATATAGACAGATACTAAAAGACATTGAGAAAAAGAATGCTGGGCTGAACTAATCATTGATAGTATGGGTCTCAATTTTATGGATTTTGAGAAGGCCATAAAGCTTAAACGAGAAGTTCTAATCATATTATAGATTTCTTTAGAAAAGTATCCTTTTCTAAACAAATATAACAGGCTTTTCTGGATTTTGAGTTCATTTTTATACGTGTTATCACAAGTTTCTACAGGACTAATTCTTACAAACTTTTTAGGGTCATTAAAAATAACCAACATCTTTTGAACAAAATCTACTCGATCAAGTAAAACGAAATCAGCTCCCTTGTCTGGTTTATAGATATAAATATCAGTAAGTAAGATTTGAAAGATTTGATAGTAGTTTTAGTCCAAACAAAATCACCATAGTCAACAGGGGAGTCGCTATAACAGTAAGCCAAATCTTTTAAACGGGACTTCATTGTAACACCATGATCCGATGAGCAAGGAACATGGTGATGAAGTTGAGAGAACAACACCTCAAATGTTGCCAGTGCCTCCTCCTTATCATACTTAATAGGGGGAATACAAAATTCCAATCGCTTAGGCAAAACCGCCTTTTCAATCTTCAAAAGGTGGATATTCGATTAGTTGAAAATGTGCTTATCTTCAGTAATTGAATCACATCCAGATCTGGAACGAATAAATGAGGCAAGTTGTTTTTCAAATTTCAAAGAAACACGTCGTTTGACAAATTCATCACCATTTGCCAAATATTTACAGTAACGAAAGAAATCAAAGAATGACAAAAAGCTTTTAAATGTAGATAAACGACCATGCGTAGAATTAATACAATATTCAAGTTGTTTAGACAACTTATTAATTTCATCTTGGATAAATGCCCGCTCAATAGTTAAGCTAGGTCTCACCTTTTTGTGTTCTCTAGTTCTCAGTTTATTCTTGTCACAATTTTCCTCTCTATAGTGAATATAGTCTTCAATATTTATAAATGTAAAAGACAATGGGTAAACTGTAATATTAGCCAACGTCTTTCGTCCAATGTGAATTTTTTCAAGGCAAAAACGACAAAGAAACTAATAGTAACAAAACAAAATGTCTTCAGCAACTGGAAGAATTTAGTAAACACTATTATATTTATATTGTAAAATGAAAATTACGTCAATATAAAATTGATATAGAAAATATATCGGATAATGAATATAACATAAAAAAATTGCCATCTTAATAGTTCTAGTTATTTGTATTACTTCAAACGTTATTATATTGGACACACGTATTTCAAATAGACACTCCATTTTTATTATTTAAAACAGTGTGCATTACGTCTACCGGTGTGTGCATTTGAGAAATCAGGGGTCGCGTGCTTGTTCCTTAACGAAGAAGACATTTTTCTTTATTAACATTTCTCGAATGCGCAGGCCGATAGATGTAATGCATACATACATACATACATACATACATACATAGATTATATATATATATATATATATGTATATGTATATAAACATGTATATATATATATGTATGTGTATATATATATATATATATATATATATATATATATATATATATATAGATAGATAGATAGATAGATAGATAGATAGATAGATAGATAATATTAGTGGAAAATCATTTATGTGCCATGCGTGATACACGGTTGACCCGTTGTCATCCAAGACTATAGAATCCAGTCTGTCCTGATTTTTAACCATGGCTGGGTGGGGGGAGAAGAAAAGAATTCATACGTTTCCCAATGGTATTAGCACGCAAGTGAATGTAATGGATTCGACTGGAATTCGAACTCGGCCGAATATATATATATATATATAGATTAAATCCGAAAAATTTTCTATTTATTTAAACGTTATTTTCAAATGGATACTCATATTTGAGTAGATGGTCTCTTTTATTTATTTATTAAAAAGTATATTTATTTATTTACATCTACCTGCCTGAATATTTGAGAAATCTTGTTCGAAAAATATTCGTCCTACGGCAGCATTTGAACCTACGTCTTCGAGGGAAACTTTCACTAAATCTAACATGCCTTAGACCAACTCATAACTAAACAGGCTGCAAGGCCATTTGAACTTTTCCCAAGGAAAAATTAAATCATTTTTTTCTGAGCTGTTCTATTGGTCACTCGTGCCTCTTTGTTTTCATTGCCATTATATGCATCGATATGCGAATAGAAATTCAGATATATAGGTATATGTTGTTATGTGATTGTACATAATGTGCAGAGGAACTATAATATGAATTGATTATATATTTCCGAAGCTGAGATTTTGTTCGGCCCTGTTATCTGACATCAGTGAAAATCAAATATATATGGGTGCGTTTTAAATTTGTGTAATAAAAATTCTTTATGCATTAGAATGCGTACGTAGATGCATGTTCATGTTTGAATGCATCATTGAATGAATTTAAGTTAAGGATCCATAAAAAATACCGATGTAAATATGCATATGTGGATGCAATTTATTTATATATCAACTAATGCTCGTATTCTTATTTATTCAAACATTCCTATTAATATGTGTGCATATTTTGTATGGGCTTTTTGCTTATATTGTTGACTTGAGTATGCATAAGTGACGTTGTGTACAGAATTCTTTACTCTGCATACATTTGTAGATCCCCTGAATTCATATATAATTAATATGTTCTTGTACATATATATATATATATATATATATATATATATATATATATATATATATAAGGAAGAGGTTATGGTAGTTCCAACGAGAGAAAAGTGTGTGTATTAAAAAGAAGAAAGAAACCGCAATTGTTTTTGGTTGTAATGTGGATTCTTTTTATGGAAATCTCCACGCTTTGCCTGATGACGGTCGCGAGACCGGAAACACGTGTAGCAAAATTATGGAAAATAAAGCATCATATTTTTTTAATCCACATTACAACCAAAAACAATTTCGGTTTCTCTCTTCTTTTTAATATCTATCTATCTATCTATCTATCTATCTATATATATATATATATATATATATATATGTATACACATATATATATATGTATACACATTTGTGTATGTGAATATATATATGTGTGTATCTGTGCACATATATATATACATATCTTTATATATATTTATACATACAACTGATCTTACACGTACACACACGCACACACACACTCACACACACACACACACACACACATATATATATATATATATATATATATATATATATATATATATATATATATATATATATTATAATTATTTTTTAAATATGATTCCTTTTGCTACATAAGAGAGTTCTCATGTTTTCAAAAAACGAGCGCCGAAAACCTTTTTTTCATCCTCAAGCGAAAATTTTGGAAATCAAAATTCCTAAATTTTCGCTTGAGGATGATAATTTAACTCAATTTAATTTTAATAATTATATTGAGGTTTTCGGTTCTCGTTTTTGAAACATGAGAACTCTTATGTAGCGAAGGAATCATTTTTTTTAAATAATTATAAATTATATATATATATATATATATATATATATATATATATATACGGAGGTGTTGAGGCCTCACACTTATACACACACCCACACGAATATACACACTTACAAACATCATACTCACTCACACCCTAATGATCCAACACACACCCATAATAATATACACGCTTACACACATCATACTCACGCACTCCCTAAGAACCATCATAACACACACACTTAACAGAGACACATCCCCTTTCCAGGAACCAATAAAACTGTCAAAATGACCAAGGGAATTCAGAGCAGGTATGAATCCATCCAGCTCTTATCTCAGATAACAACTTATAAGAGACTGTTTGACCAACACAACAACTGACCAAAATTCGCGTTAAAATAAAAAAAAAATGAAAACTACAGACAAAATTTATTTTCTACATCAAGATATTCATTTCTGTAGTTCACTGCTACCAGCAAGCAGAAAATTATTTTTCAACTGATGATGGCCATGTTGGCCGAAACTAGTTGAGGAATCTAAATGAAATTATAATAAAAACGAAGGAATATTAATATACAACCCAGTGTGTCTGAAGATTTTAATTTAATAATTTTTAATTTTTTTTTGTTATAATATATATATATATATATATATATATATATATATATATATATATATAGTCATGTACGTATTGAAATGTATTGAATAATTATACTATTTTCTACAGTTGAATGACTTAACAATCAGCTACAGGTTGATAACGTACTGTATTTCGGGAATCCGTTGCACATACGTTTCTTTGAATTAAAATGAACTACTAATAATACTACAAATAATAATAATAATTTGTAATAGTAGTATAAAAGATAAATTGGAAGGTTGCATGCTTGCAATCTGAAAGGTTTAACTTTAAATTTAAAAAAAAAATCTAGCTTGCTTGGCGTTCATAATTGAGGGTTGTTGCATTTGACACCTCCCGCCTATTACCATGACCCCACCAGAAATCTGCTTTTTTCCCTCCACACACACTGGCTAGCATTCCATTTCTATCATATATCATTGATTTCCCTTGGTAATCATCTTACAAAGTACTTGGACATTTCTAATCTTCGAAAAGACGTGAAATTATTTAGAAAAATTCTCGAAAGAGTTAAATGAAGAATATCTCTATTTTGACATACCCTTCGAGTTTGTTTTCCATGTCTTTTTCATTCTTGCTGTTGTACAGTAAGAATAAATGATGCCCAAAAAGAATGATCTTAAAAGTATTCCTTCCTTCCTTCCTTCCTTCCTTCCTTCAACTTTATTTTTCCATTTCTTTTCTTTCGTTCCTGTCTTTCGGTAATTCTGTCAGCTTTTCAAAATTCTATCTTTTTTTCTTTCCTCTTGTCTGTGTATGTGTTTTTTCTTATATCTAAATGGCTATGTGAATGTATGTATATGTGTATGCGCTTTATATGCGTGTATGGGTGTGTGTGTTTTTATTTGTGCATGTCTTTGTACGTGTGTGTACATGTATATCTTATGGTTCTATGTTCTTAAGTGTGTGTCTCCCCGTGTATGTCTTTTAGTTTTGAAGACGTTTCCTTTTTTTCATTCAAAGTCTTTAAATTCTTCATTCTACTTTACACTCTTCTTCAGCCGATATTTTTAATCTTTCGTCGATTTGCATCTGTTTTCTCTGATTTATTCCTCTTTCATTCACCATTCAGTTTGCTTCTATCTCCTTCCTTAAACTTTTCTGCTGTAGGATTTTTTCGATATTTCCTGGCGAATATTTTTTCTTTTCTTTTCTTCAAATACTTCCTTCTTAATTAAGGTTAATTTTTCAGTTTTTCTTTTTCGATTTCATTCATTCTTCTTTTTTATCTTTCATTCATTCCGTAATTTTGGGTTATTTTCTTTCAAATTTCTTCCTATTTCTCCTTTCACTCTTTTTCCTTTTTCCTCACTTTCTTTCCTTATATTTTGCCTTCATTTAATTCCTTGTTCATTCTGTTGTCTAGTATTTTTTATTTATTATTTTTTTATTGTCAATATCATGTTTATCTTCTATTTTTCTTTTGGTTTTCCTAGAGTTTTCTTCCTTTCTTCTTCTTCTTTCGCTTCTACGACGACTACAACTACTATTACTACTACTACTACTACTAATAATAATAATAATAATAATAATACAGATACTACTATTGGTATTTTCATTTGTCATGGCTTAATTTTGCTTTTTCCTCCAAAAATATCACTGTTCGAATTGTATTTGAAAGCAATAAATCTTACTCAAATCAGTTCCTGCTGAAAATATCACAACAATTTCACTTCATCTGACATACATATATATATATATATATATATATATATATATATATATATATATATATATATTAAAAAGATAAGAATGCTGACCGGGAACACTACCATGGTTTCGACCGCCGCGGTCTCGTCAGGGGGTATGTTCACCGAATCAATCAGCAGCAACTCAACAACTTAAATACCTTCACCACCGGAAGTGGTGGGGTGAGGGAGTTGTAATGAAAAAAAAAATTATTCAAACTTCATCCGGGTTCGTATAGTCCCAAAATTAACTTTCTAACGTAGCTAGATTTGGCTATGATCTCAGATTTCCCGTTCAACAACTCAGTCCCAGCTTTTTATGTTGCTATAGCTAGCTTCACCTCCTGACACAGCCTACACGAGTTGCCATTCACTTTATTCCGACGTGTATATATATATATATATATATATAGAGAGAGAGAGACAGACAGAGAGACAGAGAGACAGTGAGAGAGAGAGAGATCTATATATGTTCTTTATTATTCGTTATGGCGCCTTATGCTACTAATATATTTTTTTGATCCTGGGTGATATTGTATATGAGACTGCACTCTACATTTTAATAAATTCTTTTCTCTGACGGAAATTTTTAGGTCAAAATTATAGTCATTTGCGTTACGGTGCTTTAATAGATCTGTGCAATGCTCATAAACACTGCGTGCCAAATTATTATCGAGATAAATTTTTTTTCTCATATTTCAAAAACTGTCCAATCAATTCACACAAAATTTTCACACAATGTTGGCAACACTGACTTGCGCAATCACTGAAACTTTTGTACTGATCTGCGCAAAGTAAACAAACTGGCGCCATATTTGTTATCAGCACTGTGATTTAAGCGTGCCAAATTATTAGAAAAGTGTAAGAATTTAGTGAAAAGATGGGCCATAAAAGCAGTTCAAGTGATGCTGAAAAGAAAACTATCACCTCAGAACTCTCAAAAGGTAAATCTACCCTAGAAATTTCTAAAATGATAGGGAGGTGTCATCAAACAGAGAAGAAGTTCACCGCCAACCCTACACAAGTACGCAAAAGGGCAGATAAAGGCAAGCCGAGTGTTATTTCACGTCGTCTCATGTCATGACTTAAATGAGAGGCCACGAAGAACCCTGGACTTTCCAGTCAAGAGCTTTTCAGTCGCATTGTGGATCCTACTGTCTAAAAATACTCGCTGTCGGTATCTGAGGGAAATAGCAACAACAGTCAAACTTGTATCGAAGCCCCCGTTGACGAGAAATCACATTCAAAATCAACTGAAATGGGCCGAGGACAATATGAAGATTGACTTCTCTAAAGTTTTGTTCACAGACGAAACTCGAGCAACACTTGATGGGCCAGATACATGGTGCAAAGGCTAGGTAATGAACGGACAGAATCGCCATCAGCGTTTGAGACGCCAACAAGGCGGTGGAGGCATAATGATCTGGGGTGGTATTATTGGAAAAACATTAGTGGGCCCATGAAGAGTACCAGATAGCGTCAAAATGACTGATGATGCATACATAGCGTTTATGAAGGAGCATCTTGAACCGTGGATGAAAAGGCAAAGAGTTGCCTTCAGAAGGGCCATTGTTTTTATGCAAGATAATGCTCCATCACATGCTGCTCACAAGACTACTGAATATTTGAAACAGGCTTCGATGGACCTCGAAAAATAAAGTGGCCAGCAAATTCTCCGGATTTGAACTCAGTCGAAAACCTTTGGAGCATCATGAAGTGAAGACTGTACGCCAACGGACGACAATTCAGGAGCAAGGCTGAGTTGTGGAAAGCAATTCTTGACATATCTCACGGCATTACAGCAGATGACATCCTACAATTAACAAATTCTATGGATCCTAGACTTACCACCTAACCTCACATGACCTGCTCTCAGACAAGCAATATGGTTTCCGCTACGCCCGATCTACAGCTGATGTGCTTACGGCCATCACTGAAACCGTCTACCAAGCCCTTCAAAATGACGGTGAGGCTCGTGCCGTGGCCCTAGACATTTCCAAAGCATTTAATAGGGTTTAGCATGCCGGCCTTCTTCGCAAGCTCCAGGGTTATGGTATTACAGGTCGATTGTTTGACCTAATACAATCATTCCTCTCAAACCGTGAATTGAAGGTCGTTCTCAACGGTTTCTCCTCCAGTTCCTATCCCACGAACGCAGGTGTTCCCTAAGGCTCCATTCTTGGCCCCACTCTATTCCTTATTTTCATCAACGACCTTCCCGATGCCATAGATTCCCAAGTTGGCATCTACGCGGACGACACTACAATTTACTCCTGCCTCAAAAACAAATCTAGTGTCGCTGACAAAACTAACCTGGCCGCTCGTCTAGAAATGGACCTCAAATCGGTTGTTAATTGGGGCAAGAATTGGCTGGTCAACTTTAACGCCTCAGAAACTAAAGTGCTCTCTATTAATCACCATAGAGATCTTTCCCTGCACCTCCATTAGAATGTCTGATAGTCAACTTCTTGAGAGCAACTCTCTGCGTCTGCTTGGTCTCACGTTGACTGTTGACCTGAGATGGAACAAATACATTGTGTCAATTGCTTCGTCCACCGCGAGGAAAGTTGGCTCTCTGTGCCGCGCCAGGAAATTTTTCTCCCCGGAATCGATACTTCAAATATACAAATCAACCATTCGCCTTTGCATGGAGTATTGCTGCCATATATGGTCTGGTGCACTTTCTGTTTACCTCGGAGTTCTTGACAAGATCCAGAGGCGGATATGTAATATAATTGGCCCTGATCTGGCATCTTGTCTACAGTTGCTCTCTCACAGACGCGCCGTCGCCTCTCTCTGTCTTTTTACAAATACTTTTATGGTAATTGCTCCGATGAGCTGCTTTCATTGAATTCAAGCGAGGCTGGCATCCCGCTTCCACCTTACACTGTAGAAACTTTTAAATGTAGTCGTCTCTTCTACTCCAATAGCTTCATATCTCTTACCTCTCGCCTGTGGAACACCCTTCCCTATTGCTGTTTCCCTGAGAGCTATAATCTCCAACTATTCAAATGTAATGTCAATCGACAACCCCAGTTACCTTGATCTATCCACTACCCTTCTCCTCATCCTTTCTTCTATCACTCTCGCTCCAAATCTTCTGCAACCCTCTGTATCCTAGTGGCTTCCCGCCTTGCTCGGGGCCTAATGCTTAAAAAATATATATATACAAAAGTATACATATATATATATATATATATATATAAAGTATTCTGGCTTTGTTTGATCAGGAAGTTCTGTGTATCCGAGTTGGTCTAAGGCACGTCAGATCTAATGAAAATTTCACCTAGAGAACGCAGTTTCAACTCCGGCTGGAGGACGAATATTTTTCTAACAAGATTTCTCGAGTATCCAGGTTGGTAGATGTAAATTAATAAATATACTGTTTAATAAATACATAAATAAAAGAGACCATCTACTCAAATAAGAGTATCCTTTTAAAAATAAATAAAAATAAAAGATACGCCGGATTTAATCCACTTTCTAATATATATATATATATATATATATATGTGTGTGTGTGTGTGTGTGTGTGTGTATGTGTGCATTACGTTTTTCAGCCTGCGCATTCGAGAAATGGGAATAAAGAAAAAGCTGTTTTCCGTTAAGAAATAAACATGCGACCCGCTGATTTACTAATGCGCAGGCCGGTAGACGTTATGCACACAGTATGAATAAAAAAATGTGATGTCTATTTCAAATACATGTCCACTATAATAATATTTGAAGTAATACGAATCACGGATTAGGAGTAAATCTATTATTTCTTCACACACACACACACATATATATATATATATATATATATATATATATATATATATATATATATATATATATATATATATATATATATATGTATGTATGTATATTACTTTGAGAAATTCTGATAAGGAGAAGAGGATTTTACCCTTAATTTGATAAAGGAAACCTGGGAAAACATAAAACAGATTTCGACTCGTACTCAGAGTAAAGAAAAATAATCATTTTCTTTAGTCACGAGAAATGCCAGCTTAGGAAAAATACTAAGATTTCATTTCAAATGCACATAAACGCATTTCATTGTTCCGCTTTCGGATCTGATGATGTCTTCAATAATAAAATGCATTATCGCATATATTTCTAAAAATATATATATATATATATATATATATATATATATATATATATATATATATATCAATAAATTGCATCTACACATATGGTTATGTTGTTAATATTTCGTTCTCCCGCGTGGTACGCCGTCATAGAACCACATCATCAATATACGACCTGCGTCTGCTATTCCGCAACCGTTATCGTCGCATAGCAACCTTCTTTGTGAACATAACAGAATATCATCTTTGATGCTGAATATCTTTTGTTTTAATGTCCATATAACCACTCTGAAGATGGGTCATGTGACACGAAAGCTTAGATCAATGAATGACATAATGAAAAAATATCCAAATGTTCGATAATTTTTGTCTTTATTTTCTCCCGAAATTAAAGCAAATATATGAAGTTTAGAACGGATCATGATTAAACATAATAGACAATCACTGTCTGTTATATTTAACAGTATATATATATATATATATATATATATATATATATATATATATATATATATATATATATATAAAACCTTGAGTAGGTTCTCGTTGTTTTTCAATGGATGGCGTTCTCAAAACTGCG